GTGTCGGTAGTTTACTGTAGTTTTACTGTAGGTGTCAGTTGTTTACTGTAGTTTTACTGTAGTTTTACTGTAGGTGTCAGTTGTTTACTGTAGTTTTACTGTTGTTTACTGTAGTTTTACTGTAGGTGTCAGTTGTTTACTGTAGTTTTACTGTAGTTTTACTGTAGGTGTCAGTTGTTTACTGTAGTTTTACTGTTGTTTACTGTAGTTTTACTGTAGGTGTCAGTTGTTTACTGTAGTTTTACTGTAGTTTTTTAGGTGACTGTTTACTGTAGTTTTACTGTAGGTGGCTGTTGTTTACTGTAGTTTTACTGTAGTTTTATTGTAGTATAAGTTATTTACTGTAGTTTCACTGTAGGTGTCAGTTGTTTACTGTAGTTTTACTGTAGTTTTACTGTAGGTGTCAGTTGTTTACTGTAGTTTTACTGTAGTTTTTTGTAGGTGACTGTTTACTGTAGTTTTACTGTAGGTGGCTGTTGTTTATGTGTCTGTAGTTTACTGTAGTTTTACTGTAGTTTTACTGTATGTGTCAGTAGTTTACTGTAGTTTTACTGTAGTTTTATGGTAGGTGTCAGTTTACTGTAGTTTTACTGTAATTTTACTCTAGGTGTGTTTACTGAAGTTTTACTGTAGTTTTACTGTAGGTGTCAGTTGTTTACTGAAGTTTTACTGTAGTTTTACTGTAGGTGTCAGTTGTTTACTGAAGTTTTACTGTAGTTTTACTGTAGGTGTCAGTTGTTTACTGAAGTTTTACTGTAGTTTTACTGTAGGTGTCAGTTGTTTACTGAAGTTTTACTGTAGTTTTACTGTAGGTGTCAGTTGTTTACTGTAGTTTTACTGTAGTTTTACTGTAGGTGTCAGTTGTTTACTGATGTTTTACTGTAGGTGTCAGTTGTTTACTGTAGTTTTACTGTAGTTTTACTGTAGGTGTGTTTACTGAAGTTTTACTGTAATTTTACTGTAGGTGTGTTTACTGAAGTTTTACTGTAATTTTACTGTAGGTGTGTTTACTGAAGTTTTACTGTAGTTTTACTGTAATTTTACTGTAGATGTGTTTACTGAAGTTTTACTGTAATTTTACTGTAGGTGTGTTTACTTAAGTTTTACTGTAGTTTTACTGTATGTGTCAGTTGTTTACTGTAGTTTTACTGTAGTTTTATTGTAGGTATCAGTTGTTTACTGTAGTTTTACTGTAGTTTCACTGTAGGTGTCAGTTGTTTACTGTAGTTTCACTGTAGTTTCACTGTAGGTGTCAGTTGTTTACTGTAGTTTTACTGTAGTTTCACTGTAGGTGTCAGTTGTTTACTGTAGTTTTACTGTAGTTTCACTGTAGGTCTCAGTTGTTTACTGTAGTTTTACTGTAGTTTCACTG